AATCACAACAGCTGAGCGTCTCTGAGCCCCCCACCTACACATATTAGAAAACCACTTGTTATCCTAAGAGCCTGGAAAATCACAGTGTGCATGAGGAAAGATAATCAACAGAAGCTGACACTGACATCAATCAGATGCTGGAGTTATCTGTCAAGGCTTTTGAAGCAGTCATCAAAAAAATGCTTCAATAACAACTTCAAATGTTCTTGAAACAATAAAAAAGGGGAAAACTCACACTAAAGAAACAGAAGATATAAAAAAGAACCAAATGGAAATTTTAGATCTAAATAATTACAATAACCAAAAAAAAAAAAAAAAAATCACTGGACACTCAATAGCTGAATAAAGATGACGGTTATACTTGAAGAGAGAAAAACAGAAATTCCTCAATCTGAACAACACAGGGAAAAGAGAATTGGGGGTGGGGTGCAAGGAAAAAGAACAGAGCCTCGGGGACCTGCAAGACAAGGACGAAATATCTCACATTTGTATTACTGGAGTCCCAAATGGAGAGGGAAAATAGAGTACATCTGAAAAACTATTCAAAGAAATGATGGCTATAAACTTCCCAAATATGGTGACAGATATAAGCCTAGAGATTCAAGAGCTGGGTGTACCCCAAATAGGAAAAACCCAAAGAAATTCATGCCAAGACCCATCATAGTTCAACTTCTAAGAACAAAAGACAAAGAAAAAACTTGAAAGCAGGCAAAGAGAAATAACTTATTATCTACAGGAGAATACCAGTTTGAATGCTAGGGGATTTCTCATCTAAAACCATGGAGGCCAGAGGGAAGCAGCAGCACACTTATTTCAAATGTTGAAAGAAAAAAACTATCAATTCTATACTTGGCAAAACATCCTTTAGATAGTTTGTGAAATCCAGCAGGGTGTGAAAAAGAATTATATACGGCAGCCAGTGGGATCTATCCCAGGTATGCAAGGTTGGTTTGATATATGAAAGTCAGTCAATGCAATCCATCATATCAACAGGCTAAGGAAGAAAAAGTCTATGATCTTATCAATTGATGTAGAAAAAAGATCTGGCAAAATTCAACAGCCATTCTCGACCACCGAAGTTCTCTTTTACTATTTCTAATTGTCACTGCTGTGAGTAGCATGCAAGGGACATTTTGGTAGCTTTATCTTTGCACATCCAGTCATTATTTCCTCAGGATAAATTCCCAGACATAGGCCCATTGCATCAAAGAGAAAATGCAATTCTTGAACTTTTGGTACATCCTGCAGCCAAGCTGTTCTCCAGAAAGGGTAGCCCTGACATTTCATACTCCCCCAGCATCAACAGCTTGTGAGTGAGCTAGCTATTTAATTCTTCCTGCTTGGTCTGCCCCATAATTCAATATAGTGTTTGTCCAAGTGTGGTCCAAGGTCACCTGAGGACTGGTGGAATAGATCATTCTCTCATGATCACATCTGACCCTTCAGGAAATTCTGTCTTCACCACCTTCAAAATAGGTCCAGAATTTGCCCTGGCTCTGCCCTCTCTGCCAACACTTGGTCCAAGGAACAAGCATTCCTCTAATATCCTTTCAACTGGTCTCCCCACTTTTGCTCTTGTCCTCCATCATCTATTCTCCACATGGCAACCAGCACAATTCTTTTTCAAATGTAAATTAGATTAAGTCACTCTTAATGCTACACACCTCATTTCGGGGTCCCATTTCCCTCAGATTCAAAGTCAAAGTCCTTACAATGGCCAACAAGACCCTATGTGCTGGGACCCTCATTTCCACTCTGACTCCACCTCCTGGTTCTCTCTGCTGCAGGCACGCTGGCCCTTTTCTAGGCCCCTCAACGTGCCAGGCACCATCCCGTCGCAGGGCCTTTGTGCTGTCTGTTCCCTCTGCCTGAAATGCTATACCCGTAGATAGAAGCCTGGCAACTCGTTCACCTCCTTCAAGTCTTATCTTCTTACTGTCACTCTATTTAAAATGGCAAATTCCCCTTCCCTGTTATCCTACTTTATCTTTTTCCATAGCAAGCACCACCTTGTAACATTTATACAATATTGACTTATTTAATTATGTTGACAGTTTGTCATCTGTCAACCCCTGCTGGCTGGAATGTAAGCTTGATAAGGGCGAGGGGGGAGCCTTTGTTGGTTTTATTTACTGACATGCTCTAAGCACCTAAAATAGTACCTGGCACATTGTGATAATGAATAAATATCTGTGAATGAGTGACTGAATCTATTCAATGACAGTTATGCAGCCACTGGACACAACACTGGAGAACTCGATGATGCGGGAAAATACTCATGCTATAGCAAGTTTTAAAATAGAAGATTTAGAATGTGTCAAAAATTATATGTATATAGGTATATAAAAAAGACTGGAAGGCTATATGCCAAAATGTTTTACTTATCTCTATTTTCCTAATTTTTTACAATGAAAGTGTATTGCTCATACAATAAAAAAATTAACAAAGTTACTTTGAAAAAAGAACATGAGGTGTGGGAGCAATATTATAAAGGGGCACGGGGAGCTTCCCAGGGTGAGGGAACAGTTCTATATCTTAATTGTGGTAGTGATTACACTGTATCATTCATGAGAATTCAAGTACTGTATACTTGCTTGAATTTTAATGTATATAAGCTATAAAAAGAATAAACGAAGCCCCACTGGTATTAAGTTAGAGCCCCCGGGGTGGTCCCCAGCGCCAGCACTGGAGAGGCCATTACTCCTCCCAACGCCACACCTGGAGAGGGCCCAGGCGGCAGCTGCCACTTACATGAGTTCTCCAGACTTCAGCAGGCAGATTTCCGCATCCTGCCCCACGGGCATGTCTTCAGTGTCCTCAGGCGTTAGCGAGGTTGATGTAGTGTCCCTGAAATGTCACAAACGAGAACACAGTCATTTAGCTATCAACACACAGGGCCTCACATCCTGGGGTCCGCAGTCTTGGAGTCACAGGCAGCCAAATCCAGATGCATGGGGGATCCTTTAATCACAGAGGCCATGACAGAGACCCCGGCAGATTTTGTGGGTAGAGGGAGGGCTGCAGGGGCAAGGGCCAAGCAGGTGGACAAGGAGAAGACAATAGGGCTACAGCAGTTTTCCTGGAGCAGCTGTAGGGAAGAGACCTCCTGCTATAGGAAGGGTGAGCAGAAACACAAATCAACCACTCTCCTAGCCCACGCCAGCAGAGCCACTGCCATGGGACCAAGGTACCAGCACCACTGGGTCCTGCCTCCTCAGTGCCAGTGCACGACTAGAGAAGCCTCTGGCCTATCCCTGGGGCACAAGAACAGGCACCCAGGGGAGGTTTTTAACACCTTCTGAATTATGGATTCTTAGAACATATTGGCAGATTGCAGTCCCTGCACTTCACTGATGGGGACACAGAGGCCCAGGCAGTTCCTCCGAGGCAGAGCTGGAGCCAGAACTAGATACCCTGACTGCAACTTAGTGCTTTCCCTGTGGGGCCCCAGGTCCAGCTCAGCCAGGGGCTTATACAATCTCAGGTGCCTCAGAGCCCAACCAGCTCCACTCCCTCGTTCTGCCAAAGAGGAAACCTAGGTCCAGAAAAGAAAAAATGGCTTTGTCCTCATGTGAAGGCATCAGTGAGGAAGATCTGCCACTCAGTGTGGCTTCTTTTTAAATTGCTGCAACAATCTGTGCTCTTCCAGGAGCTGAATGCCACCAGCCCTGAGCAGTGGGGCTTCCTCTAGCTGAGGTCTCTGCCCTAAGGGCAGGGGACGTGGTATGGCTGTGGTGGGGTCCACTGTGGTTCCAGCTTCAGCGTTGTGACTGTGTGACTCATGGTGAGCTCTTTCCTCCTGAGACCCCAGTTTTCCTTCTCTAAATGGAAGCAAATGGAACCGGATGGACTCTGGGTTCTGAGGGCTTGAAAAGGCTGTAAGTTTTAAAGGACTCAGAGGTAGCATCTTGCAAGCCCACTGGTTGAGAAAGAGGTGGGCTTGCTCTGGTCAGCAGCTTCCTGCCCACGGCCTCTGTTGCTCTTCTCAGGGAAAGTGAAGGAAGAACGCGGGCTACAGCACCTGCTGCCACCGGGGGCATGCCTTGTCACTCTGGCATTTATTTTTCTTCCTGGCCCCAACCCCCATCTTCCTCCTTGCCTAACATCTCCTTCTTTTTGCTTTTCCAGCCGCTGGCTTCTAGGCCCCCACTCCCTCACCCTGGGACAAACAGAAACAGGGAACATCAGTGCAAGAAGCTGCTCAAGGAGCAAGCTCGTGCAGTCACCCACTTGACAGCAGGGAAGCAGAAGTCCAGAGGAGACAGGCCAGGGTCACTCAGGCCTGCTTGTTTGCCTTCATCCTTGTCCAAGGCACAAATACCATAAATAAGATAAAGAAATAAAGTAGAATGAGAGAGACTCTGAAAGCTGTACTTGGTTCTCCCAATTTTCTTGCATTCAGGATAAAAGATGTTCTAATCTATGATTCCTTCTCTTCCTCCATCACCCTCCTCCCTGACCACAGTGATGACAGACAACGCCTGATTACCTGTAAGCAGATGATTCACAGAGCAGGTTTCCCAGACCCTTGCTGGCCCCGGCGGATGCCCTGCATGAGTGAGGTGGGAGTGGGACAGGTGGGTGATGCAGTCTCAAAGGTAACAATTAGGGCAGAGGGCTTTCTTTTCAATAGGTTTTCAAACTGTAGGCCATGACCCATTTAGTGGGCTGTGAATCAATTTAGGAGGTTATGACCAACATTAAAAGAAATAGAATAAAATAGAAAATATAATAGTATATTGCATGTTGCGAGGATAAGTATTTATGAGGCTCTTGGGTTTTGTTTGTTTTTGAGACGGAGTTTTGCTCTGTCGCCAGGCTGGAGTGCTGTGGCACGATCTTGGCTCACTGCAACATCCAACTCTCCGGTTCAAGTGATTCTCCTGCCTCAGCCTCCCGAATAGCTGGGATTACAGGCATGCATCACCACACCCAGCTAATTTTTGTATTTTTAGTACAGACGGGGTTTCCCCATGTTGGCCAGGATGGTCTCAATCTCCTGACCACATGATCGGCCCATCTCGGCCTTCCAAAGTGCTGGGGTTACAGGCCTGAGCCACTGTGGCCAGCCTCGAGGCTCTTGTTTTGATCGTATGTGTACACACATGCACACTAGGTAGCCATGCAAAATGTATTTCTTACCGTGAGATACGGTAGAAAATGTTCAAACAACTCAGAGGATGTCAAGGGATTTAAGAGCTTGAGAAAGGACGGCAACCAAAGCATGACCACTAGAGGGCACCCCACCTCCTACTAGAGCTGCTTCCGTTCCTTGCTATCGAGGCAGTCTCAGGGAAGATACCAGATACTCACTGCCCACGCGGCCTTCCTCCTCCCCTTGCTCTGGTCATGGCAGCCTACTGCTAGCTTGGCTGATGGCATGCCACCCTTTCCGTCCGAGTTTTTGTCTGGAGCCAGTGGTCAGCTGAGATCAATATCTCTCGAGCACACACGTTCCAGTCCGTCAACTTGTCTGTCCCTTTGTGGGTGCCATCCTGGCATTCCTGGGCAGCCTGCTGTGCGCACAGCCCATGCCCAGTGAATGTCTACATTATTTCCCTCAGAGTAAGGTTTTCTTCTGTCCCAAATGCTCCCAAAGGAGGACATACCCAAGCCTCCGCATTAGAAGCGAGTCAGAAAATAAAGTGGTGAGCACAAACCAGGCAGCCCCTGGCACTGCAGTCCTGGAGTCCACACCTCTCTGAGTCATGGTGGAGCCCCTCCAGCTTGGTCTCTACAAATGGGAGTCTATAGTCCTTCCCTGTCACGAATCAAATGGCCTCGGCCTGTTTGTTGTGTAATTACTGCACAACTTTAATCCTGCAGACTGCCTGCGGTACACGTCTGCTTGTTTAGAAACTAGCCGAGGGAGGAATGGATGCCTGGAAAATCCCTATGGCCCAAGGTGCCTTGCTGCCAATCTGCCCCAGGGGGCGCCATCTCCCGTCAGCCTCGCTAAGTCCCACAGAGTGAGAAGCGTTGCTTTTCCTGATTACACAGGCTCCTATCCTCCCTCTGGTCAGCCTCCATCTGCGAACAGTCTCCTCTGAAATGGAGATGTCTTCAGTTTAAAACTGCACTCTTCAATACAGTAGCCACTAGCCACATGTGGCTATATAAACTTAAATTAATCAGATAAATTAAACTAAAAATGTGGCTGCCTGGTTGCACTAGCCACATTTCAAGTGCTCAATTATCACCTGGACTGGTGGCCACTGTGTTGGGCAGTGCAGGTGCAGCACAGGTCTCTCACAGCAGAAGGCTCCACTGAACAGTGCAGGTTTGGAAGGTTGGGCTGAACCACACCACACACATCCTATTCACTCTGCGATCTGGGGTATATTTTAGTTTTGCTATCAAATTATTATTACTGTATTAACTTGATTTTACTTTGCTAATCCATTGCTTATAAATTCCTAGTGTTAGAGTAGGTAGCTAAGCAGGCATGAGCAGGGCAGGAGAGGGCCCCCCTCCCCCAGGAATGTCATGTGACTGTCAAGTAATGGTCAGGCAATTGTTAAGCTGTCTCTGTAAAATAACTGGTTGCAGCCAGAGCCAGAGAAAGAGTCTCCCAATAGATAGAAAACATCTGAAGCGGGTAATCAGCAGCTTCCTAGGATCTCAGGAGTTGGGCGAGTGGGCTCAAGCATGCATATTAAGAGGCAAAATGGCAGAGTTTAACTGGTATATGACCTTCCTCTAGAAACGACTGATAAGGGAAAAATACCTCAAGTGAGCATGCATACACCTCCAGTAGACACACTGAGCATGCAGCCCCTCCCAAGTGCTGGCAAGCCACCACGCCTGCAGACAGCCTGCTCCAAGGAAAGAGTCGGGGGAGAAGAAACACAAACCCTGGAACCATGCCAAGGTATAAAACCTCAAGTCAAGGGCCCAACGGGACACTTGGATCTCTCAGGTCACCTGCTTGGCTCTCTTCCAAGTATACTTTACTTCCATTTGTTCCTGCTCTAAAACTTTTTAATAAACTTTCACTCCTGCTCTAAAACATGCCTCAGTTTCTCCCTCTGCCTTAAACCTACCTCTGCCCCTCGACCAAATTCTTTCCTCCAAGGAGGCAAGACTCGAGTTGCTGCAGACCCATATGGATTTGCTGCTGCTAACATACTTTGGTGCCACGTGATTCAGACACATTCTCTAGTGGTAAGACACTTCTATAACTCACCTTCTTCTGCTGGAGGTAGTCAAACCCTGTATCCGGTTTCCTTCTCCTGCTCTCCTGCCTATAGAAAAACTGTTCCTCCAGAACAATTCCTCCCAGCTATAGTGGCTTTGCTCCTGCCAGTTGATCTCTCAGCTCATCCTAGTGGCTTGCAGGGGTACAGGTCTGCTGGTTATGTTGCCCAGGCTGGCCTCAAACTCCTGGGCTTCAAATGATCCTTTCATCTTAGCCTCCTGAGTACTGGGACTATAGGTGCCCACTGCCATGCCTGGCTGGTTAGGTTACTTTTCTGTGGATCACAGCCCATCATTCACCAATGCCTTGCCAACAGCAGTAAATGTCTCATCCCTGGATCCTGGAACTGATAACTTAACAGCTCTGCCAGGTCTTCAGGTAAGGAGAGCAGGCCAACAGTCTGACTTCCAAGATAAATCTGCAGCAGGTATGTCTGCCACTTCCCTTTTACTCTTCCCTCAATTTTATTTAGAAAATGTTTAGGTATTTCTGGGGAAATCTAAGACATATATGATTGGGTTCCCACCCTTAGCAAGTTTAAAGTTTTGTTTCAAATAAAAGTAATGCCCTTAAAACAATTAACACTACAAATTGCCAGATAGTAAAAGGCGCTTTGTACAGCGATTAAAATAAAATTTTATCCCCAAACCTGCGAGTGGCTCAGCCCCTCAAATATAGGTGCAAGTCTTTTGTACTATAGAGAAGTTTCTATTAAAGAATGGCCATGATAAACAAGCCATGCTTTCTCAAATACGCGTATCCCCATATTGACACGTACACACAGCCATGGAGGGCCCCAGGTGCTGGTTTGTTTGTCCTCATGGAGTAGAAAGGCTTGCTGAGAAGAGCACGGCCAAGGGTGCTTGACAAGGCTCAGGCCATTCTAACACTGCCCTGTGGACCTGTCTTGAATGGCATGGTTGGCTCGTCCCTGGGTAAAACTCAGCTCTCAAAGCTGAAAGATTCCTAAATGTCAGGCAGGGTTACTTTAAATTGCCACCCTGCCTTGAAAGGTCTCTTTCAGGAAGACAGGTGCATATTTGGCTCAGTCTGTTCTATTCATTTGTCTACCATTCCCTACATCCATCTGTCCATCGGTGTGTAGTCTATGTGGCCTCATGGTTCATGCCCATAAGGAACACCTCACTCATTTGTACCAGTTTGGTAGAAAGGACAGTCTGAACGAATTCATTCAAAAAAATGCCTGCACACCTATTAGAGCTCTTCAGATCTTTTTCCGGGCCCCCTGGCATAGCTCCATACTCAGAGCAGGGCAGGAAGCACTTGGCTTTGCAGCCTGACAGTCCTGGGTGACTGCTGGGGATGTGTGTTCTTGGGCAAGTGGGTTAATCTCTCTAGTCTTCAGTTTGCCTATCTGTAAGTGACTAGGATTAGATGGCTGTACATAGAAGCATCCAGCATAGGGCCAGGCTTGCGGTAGAACTGAGTGTTAGTCTCTGGATCCTGAGGTTGCTCCTGGTCCGTGCTCCCAATGCTTGACATTTGCCCTTAGGAAGAGCCACATGAGGTTTGCCTAGGAGGTGGGAGAGAGCAAAAGCATTGGAGAGAAGCAACCTGAATGGTAGTGCAGAGCCAGAGAAGGGAGGCCAGGCACCTCCACATGAGGGCAGCTGCTTCTGGGAAAGCAGACATCGGAGTACATGCCTCTCCCTAGTATCCTCTCCACGAGGAGGCACTGGGGCATGTGACCCAGGCTGACATGCCTCTAATTCCTGCCTTCCAGCGTTATTTCCCAGAAGGGTCAGTAATGTTAGATCATGGAGACTGACAACTAGAACTGTACTGAGATCAAAGTAGTCAACATCTGGGGAATTCCAGGAGTAGACGGTAGCCCAAGGAAACCAGATGATTCCAGCCAGGCTAGGCAGGGTGGGTGGGCACTGCTTGCTGAGGTGCCTGAGTGGTGTGGGCTTAGGAGGGAGTGCTGCACCAGGCCCTCTGGCAGACTCATCATCATCCTGTTGATTGGTCTGGTAATGACAGAGACCTGAGTGTGTATCTTCGATTTGCCAGTTTCCAGTTGTGTGCACTGAGGGCTGTTATTTTGGCTATGGTCCTCAGTGTTCTCATCTATAAAGGAAGGATAATATCGACTGCAGGGCTGCTATGGGGCTTAACAGCTATCACATATGCTGGAGCTGCATGTGCACACAGAACCCAGCCCATGCCATGGACTTAGCATTGGCCCAGACCCCAACTGTTCCAAAAAGATGTCTGACTAGCGAATGAAGTAATTTTAAGGTACAAATGCCACCATCTTTGGTGGATGGCCAGAGCCAAACCTCCTTATTGTTCCCCTTTAGTTTGTGAATAAAGCCCTGTCAGGCCCTGACAGAAGAATCAGCCCCAAAGCAGAATGAAGGAGGTGTGGGGTATCAGAGTAACCCACCCATCTCTGACCCACGCACTACACAGGGGCGGGTTGGTCATATGGATTCTGATCTGAAGGATGGGAGTAGGGGGTGGGTCTTTTATAGTAACCAGCTGAGGGCTCTTAAAAAATGTTCAGCGGAAACGAACCACATCACAAAAGTAGAGGCAGACCTTGCTTCACGAGCAAGCTCATCTGTGGAACAAACCGGCAAAGCACCTCTGCTGGTGAGTCATTTGTCTTACTCTTTACATTGAAAAGAAGACAGGGAGGACTAACCCCAGGTATTGTTGGTATTCTCTGATTCCTGTCTGTAGTAGGGCACAGTGCACAATGCCAGGCTATGGAGCTCAGGGGCTCTTAGTTCAAATTACATCACTGCCATTTGCTACTGTGTGGGTTAAACTGGAGAAACATGAAAACTACTGAACATGTTTCCAGGCACACAGTTAGTGCTTGTAGACTGACCGTACTGCTAGTAATGGCATAGTCAGACCCACCCAGGGAGATAAGGAGGATCTAGTTATTGTCTATATTTGCTCAATGGATAATCTGTTTTCATTTCTTTTGCATAAGACAGGCTGTTTTCTCAGATTATCATTTATGTTATTTTTTCAATATAAATCAATATGCTACTGTAGAAACTTTGAAAACTATTTTTAAAAAAGGAAGAAATAAGTCACCCATAATTCCACCAGCTGGAGGCCAACTGTTAATAAAATGTGATCATTTTTTCCAAGTTTCTAAAAGTATGGTCAGTCAAAAATCACGTAGTTTATCATGAACTCTTAAATGAAGGCCCACATAATACATGGCAGAGGGATTCAAGGGGTTCATGGACTCCCAGAATTGCAGGGGTATTTGTGTGTGTGTGTGTGTGTGTGTGTGTGTATACATTATTTCTGAGAAAAGATCTGCAGTTTTTAGGAGATTCTCAAAGGAGTTTATGGTCAAAAAAGTTTATGAATCACAATTAATTTTATATCCTTTTGACATCTATTTGTTGTAATAGTAATAGCTAATACTTATTTTGCATACTTACTTTGTTTACACTGTTCTTAGCAATTTAACTAAGAGTACTGCATTTTCCAAAATCAGTAAAAATACTTCCTAAACATTTAAGTCATATTCTATTTTATGTTTGAGTTATAATTTGCTTCATCATTATCAGACTTTTACACTATTTCCAAAGTTGTAGTTTTTTTTTAATTTTCAGAAAACAAAATAGGATTTTGATTATAGAAGATAAATGTTTTTAGTTCGCCTAGAAGGGGAAGTAATTTTAAATACTCTATTTGCACAGCACTGTCCAGGCCCAACCTGTTTACCAATTATTATACATCAAAGTTTACCAATTATTACACATGAATTTGCACAGGTCCTTTGATGAAATGTGTAATGGCAGCATAAGGGACCAGTAAAAGCTGGAACAGGAGGATACCAAAAAAAGGCAAGAGCGAGTCAAGCAATAATGGGGAGCTGGACACTACTCTTAAGAGCAAAGTCACCTGTTTCATATTTTAAATGACGAAAAAATATGTTTTTGCCCCTGTGAGTCAATGACACAAACGCATCATCTGACCTACTTAATATAGTGCCCCAGAGAGCTTGTTGGGGGCAGAATGTCTACTGGCTGACCTATCACCCTTAGAGATCTAACAATTGTGGTGTAAGGGCAAGGATTGTTATTAAGCAGTCTTAGCCCAAAGGCAGCATCCTTCCTTGCTAGAGAGAAAGGGCACTTTGGCCCCTGGAAAGACAGAGGCAAGCAGCAGCATTGGAGACACTGCTCCCAGTCAGGACTCAACGTCAGGGACAGAAGTGTTTTTGAGTGGATTAGGAAAGGTAACCTCATTGCTTATATGCCCTTGTCTGGTCAGGCAATATTTTGACTTTGCTGGCAGAGATTCTGTCCAAACACCTGCTCTTCTTCATACATCTTCTTGAGGTGCTGGCCAGACATAGTTCTAGGTCACTGGAAACGAGCTGCTGCATGTTGAGTATCTGCAGGTCAGTAGCAAGGGCAGGCTTCGCACCCATGGGCTGATGTTGCCGCAGCGGCCCCTGCTCCCACACCATAGGTTACATGATCCCTTGTCCTGTCTGTGGTCTTTGGCAGGGTCACAGGGCAGAGGGAAGGGTCAGAGAGAAGTGACATCATGAAGGGCTGGTGCCCTGGGTAAGAAAGATAGCCCATCTGGCACCCCATTTCAATTGGGTCTTCTGCTTGTTAAATGAGGCCCCTAAGTCCTAACCTGCCAATCACAGGAGCTAAGGCAAGGTTCTGCTTTGGGGAAATCTACCTTTTAAGAGACTTCTTGCTCAGAAGTCTTCAGGAAATGAGACTCTGATGGTGGAATGCCATAAACTGTGTTAGATGATGAAGGGGAAAGTTTAGTTGGGAAGTGAGAACCACCCAGTGCTTTATCCATGAAGCCAGCTCAGCCAAAGTGTTGGGCAGCTGTGGGCTTTTCTATCCCTTGTTTCCCCATTAATAGCCTTTGAAAATCTATGCAATTGAGGGGAAGTAAAGGCAGGAAGGACTACCTACCCAGGAAGAGCAGTCTTGCCATCCCCAAACACCTGTGGTCTCCAGGAGTCTCCTTGATAGGAGAGCCCCCTGGTAGGGACACTTGCTTTAGCTTTCACAATTTATTAGGAAATGGGGCTCAGGATGGGTGGGCAACTGTGGCGAGGCAGGGGGAGATGAAAACAGGCATGTCCCATTGATGAGCTCAGATTATCAGTGGGCTCATCCACTGACACCCAGATTATCAGCGGGCTCAACCATCCATTATCAGTGTTGCTCTTCCAAAGAGCACTATGCCCACCTGGCAGCAAAGCGACTTTTGCTTTCAAAATAATTGAGCACAGGATTTTATGGAATGTGCTTAGGGGTCAGTTATGAGTTGTCTCCCACATGGGTGAGATCCTGAGAATTTTCAGGCTAATGGAGAGTCCTCGTCCTGTCTGAGCAATTTCCCCTCAGAATTGATTATCTTCAATATACTGGACTGTGCTGTTTCTACACAGCCTTGTGGGTGGGTTTAGGAGATGACTATTTGCCCCCTAAATGTGGTCAATGGGACAGCAGGAAGACAGAGAATGCCGTCCTCAGCCCAAATATAATTCCTGGGTTCTGACTCACAGGTGTTCATCAGAACAGACACCATGGCAGAGTATGATCACTATGAAGATGATGAGTTCTTCAACAGTTTCAATGACAGCAGCCAGAAGGAGCATCAAGACTTCCTGCAGTTCAGCAAGGTCTTTCTGCCCTGCATGTACCTAGTGGTGTTTGTCTGTGGCCTGGTGGGGAACTCCCTGGTGCTGGTCATATCCATCTTCTACCATAAGCTGCAGAGCCTGACGGACGTGTTCCTGGTGAACCTACCCCTGGCTGACCTGGTGTTTGTCTGCACTCTGCCCTTCTGGGCCTATGCAGGCATCCATGAATGGATCTTTGGCCAGGTCATGTGCAAGACCTTACTGGGCGTCTACACTATTAACTTCTACACATCCATGCTCATCCTCACCTGCATCACTGTGGATCGTTTCATTGTAGTGGTTAAGGCCACCAAGGCCTACAACCAGCAAGCCAAGAGGATGACTTGGGGCAAGGTCATCTGCTTGCTCATCTGGGTGATATCCCTGCTGGTTTCCTTGCCCCAAATTATCTATGGCAATGTCTTTAATCTGGACAAGCTCATATGTCGTTATCATGACGAGGAGATTTCCACTGTGGTTCTTGCCACTCAGATGACACTGGGGTTCTTCTTGCCACTGCTCACCATGATTGTCTGCTATTCAGTCATAATCAAAACACTGCTTCATGCTGGAGGCTTCCAGAAGCACAGATCTCTAAAGATCATCTTCCTTGTGATGGCTGTGTTCCTGCTGACCCAGACACCCTTCAACCTCGTGAAGCTCATCCGCAGCACACACTGGGAGTACTATGCCATGACCAGCTTTCACTACACCATCATAGTGACAGAGGCCATCGCATACCTGAGGGCCTGCCTTAACCCTGTGCTCTATGCCTTTGTCAGCCTGAAGTTTCGAAAGAACTTCTGGAAACTTGTGAAGGACATTGGCTGTCTCCCTTACCTTGGGGTCTCACATCAATGGAAATCTTCTGAGGACAATTCCAAGACTTTTTCTGCCTCCCACAATGTGGAGGCCACCAGCATGTTCCAGCTATAGGCCTTGCCAGCATTTCGAGAAGCTGCTCTGGAATTTGCAAGGCATGGTTGTGTCCTCTTGATATGGTGAGGCAGGCTTTGTTTATAGTTTGCGCATTCTCATGGAGAAGTTATCAGACACTCTGACTGGTTTGGAATGCTTCTTCTCAGGCATGAACATGTACTGTTCTCTTCTTGAACACTCATGCCGAAAGCCCAAGTAGGGGGTCTAAAATTTTTAAGGACTTTCCTTCCTCCATCTCCAAGAATGCTGAAATCAAGGGGGATGACATGTGATTTCTATGATCTCAGGTTCTCCTTGACTGGGGCTGACGGTTGAAGAGGTGAGCACAGCCAACAAAGCTGTTAGTGGTAGGTAGCACGCTGGGTGCCCAAGCTCAGAAGGCTCTTCTGACTACTGGGCAAACAGTGGAGATCAGAGCAGCCATGAAAACAAATGCTGGCACCACCAGGCACCTAACAGAAATGAGATCAGGCTCTGCTTCACCTTGGGGCTTGACTTTTGTATAGGTAGATGTTCAGATTGCTTTGATTAATCCAGAATAACTAGCACCAGGGACTATGAATGGGCAAAATCAAATTAGAATAGGCTGAGAATTCCAGTGGTCCATGGAATGCTTGAAAAATGTGCAAAACAGCATTTAAGACTGTAATGAATCTAAGCAGCATTTCTGAAGTGGACTCTTTGGTGGCTTTTCTCATTTAAAAAAGAAATTTTCCAATGTCTGCCATATAAACATATGTAAATGTATATACACACACATACACATATGCTATATATTACTAGCATATGAGTTTCATAGCTAAGAAATAAAACTTTTAAAGTCTCCAAACAACTTTTATGCTTTGGTATATTCTATTTTAATGTGGTGTGCCTGGAATATACTTTTTTGGAATATACAAAAAAGTTACTTTTGGGCTCAGAGCACGGAAAATAAATTGTAAACTTTCAGGGCTGTGCTCTGTCATGGAAATGGAATATACCAGTGATAACGACCCTGCTCTTTCACTGTGGTTTCTAACCTCCTGTCTAAAGTGTGGGGCACATTTGTTTAACTTCTAGAATGTGGTCACAGGATGAGGCATAGTTTTAAATGTCAGATTTTATGCATGTTTATTAAATCCTGGTAGTCTGTTCAATAGGCTTAAAGATGTTTTTTGGGCTTATGTATCCCCAAATCACTCACCAAATACGGAGAACCAACTGACAACAGCTAACTGGAATGCACAGAGAGGCAGGCCAGAACTGACTTAACAGTGTGGTTTTGGGGGCTGAATAGACCAGAGCTGAATCCCTGCCACTCACCAGTTTGTAAGACCTTGGGCGAAACTCAGCCTCTGAGCACGTGTTTCCTTTCTTTTTGGTGAAACACGGATCATAACAGCACCACCTCTACGGGTTGGTGTGAATACCTGAGACACTGCATGTAAAACATCTGGCACAGTTTGCATTTGGGGAGAAAAGGTCCAAAAAATAGCAGTAGTTATTATTTCTTACAAGAACTGGTGACACAAAATGGAAGCCCTCCACGTCAGCCCTGTGGGTTAGCGAGGCAAGGGAGGGTTTATATCGTGCCTTCCAGGTGTGTGGTATACCATGTGCACCTGGTACAGCTGAGCACAGGCTGGGCCTTTCAGAGCCCACATGATCCTCCTACTGTTTCATAAGCTTGTCTAAACGCATCTACAAGCAGAGTTTTACTGTACTCAGGTCACATGGACCTCCGAGTGCTTCCTTCAACTACAAAATCTGCCCTTTTAGGGTGACAAGGCAACATTTATCTTTTAAGTGGCTTTCAAAGAGAGTTTCTGTCATTCCCCCTTTGTGCATTCATGTTAACATGGAACACTTCTGACAGAGGGGGCACCAGTCCCTGGTTTCCCTGACAGTGTCCTGGCCCAAGGGACAGAGGCAGAAGTAGAGTCAGGAGACGGGGCCCGGCAGCATCTCCACGAGTCCCCATGGAGAGATGCAGCAAGGTGTGATGAGAATGCAGGCTCTGGGCTCACTCTGACAGTGTTCAGTGTTCAGTCACAGCTCCACCACTGTGTACCCCTGTGCAGGTGATGCAGCACCCCTGACCCAAGCCCTGGTTCACCACCTATGCCATTGGCTCATGGTGGCCTTCCCTCCTGGGGTGCTTGTGAGCACCATGCTTGGGCCTGCCTGGCCACAGCAACAGAAAAGCAGCCACCTGGGACCGTGGGACTTTCCCTGTCCAGGTGCCCGCCCCCTCCCACGGTCCCTGCACTGGCCTTTTGTAGCTTAGGAAAGCCCTGCCTGCCTGGCCCCAGGAACAGCACAGCAGCAAAATCTTTCTTTGCCTTCCCTGCCTCCTCAGCCACTAATTGATCCTATGCCTCTGGGCCCTTACCTGCCACTCTTTGGAGTAGATGTCAGTTTTCCAACCCCTTCCCCTGGGTAGGGGAATAAACGCTGGCACAGCACGTGCAGATTACAGAAGGCCTTCATGTCTTGATTTCACTCCATCCACACCACAGCCCAGGAAGCAGAAGATGCTGTTGGTACAGGCTCCATTCCACAGAGGAGACTGAGGTCACGTGCAGGGCAGAGCCAGTTCCCAACCTCAGCCTACCCTTCTCCCTTCCACTTGGCTCTCCCCTCCGCTCGTCCACACCAGCACATGGTGTTGGAGGCCTGGTGGGAGGGGATCAGGCTGGGTGTGGGCTCTGCTTGAGTACACACTGCCTTGGTGTGGCCTCAGGGTTGGAGGGTAAAGGATGTGCTCTTTCCCTATTTCCCTACCAAGTTCCCAACACCTGGGGGTGGCTGTAGTACTTATGGGCTCCAACCCCTTTAGAGATATGGCAGAGGCCACTAATGGCCACATCATCTGAGATGTGGGGAACACAAGATGACACTGACTCTAGGGGCTACCTGAGAGCTAGGGGCCCAGGTGTCCTCCGTGGGTGTTCTGGACTGAGGAGATGGTGCCACAGAAGAGAAAAGCCTGGAGCTACCCCTACTGGAGGGGTGGAGGCAAAACAAAGAGGATGGGGACCAGGAGTGGTCAGGGCAGTCACTCTGGCCTCCTCCTCCAACGGGCTCTCAAAGCAGCACCCCCTTCCAGCTGCCCAGTCCCTGTCGGTCCCTGGTAACTAATGCCATTTTGTAGGAGGCCTGGCACTATCATCCCCATTTTCAGATGAGAAAACTAGTTCAGACAGATTAATGCCTGCCAAAGCTCATACAACAGAGCTAGGACTACAACTTCACTAACAGCCTTCTTTGCCCAGAAATGTTGGCTCCAGGAAGGTTTCCTGCCACTGACAAGCCACAGGGTACCTGTCACCTCTGTATTCAGCTGAAGGCAGAGATCTTGGGGAAGCCCGCGTGCAAGGTGGCTTTGTAACCTTAACCATTCACCATATCCTGTTCTCATTTTGTTTCTGAGATAGCAAGCGTCAAATCTCCCGGTGGGTGACAAATCTACCACAGCTCCCCTAAACACTCTGACCATGAAGCGCCTGTTCTGAAGCAATTACTGGCAAAGATGCTCTGAGGGTTCAGGGATTGTTTCTGTGCGAGAGTTTAAGCTCACTTAGGGTCATCTGGGTATCTGAAGGATCTTCCTTGGAGGAGACCCCTGGGCTGCGCAGTGCAAGGTACTGAGGCGGTAGCGGTAGCATGCACAGCTCAGCCCCTGATGACACAACATCAGGAAAGCAACATACCTCCATGAAAGTCTTCCCAGGCTTTAGGCACTGGGCTGGGCTCAGTGCTCCACACACAGTTCTCATGCAATCTTCCTAACACCCCTAGGGTGAGTCTTTTCGGTAGAGGGGAGGAAACTGAGTTCGTGGGCTGCACTGCCTAGAGCCATGGAGCCTGGAGGTGGCAGACCAGGCATGTTTGGTTCTAAAGTTCGAGCTCTTCACCACCATACTGTCTGTTCATCTGGTAGCTAGAGGGGGAGGCCGGTCCTCAAGGAGGCCATGACTGGGTAGAGGCTGAGCAAATGCTGAGGGAGCCACAGCCCAGTGCCCCTGCCAGCCCTTACCCCACAGGCCTGGTTCACCAGCTGACAAAAGCTTGGTTTCCTTCTGTGCTTCAGTCCAGAGAACTGCTGGACACCTGGTCAGGGAGATGGTGGAGGGTGAGCCCGAGTGACTGAAAAGGGGGTGTGCACGGGTGTGTCTGGAGGGCTACAACGAATACCATCTTTTCTCCAGAAGTCAGGAGCTGTGCTCCTGCTCTGCACAACCATTCTAGCTCTGAGCCATGCACAGGGACCACTGGGAGGTTGCTTAGGGGGTCCCAGCATCAGGCCACATCTCCCTGGCAGGCTGGACTTTGGGACCCCTTTCTGACCCACCTCTGCCAGGAAGAGGGGCAAGGCAAACAACTTCCTTAGCCCCAAAACTGTGTATGTGTGCAAAAGAGCGAACATGAAGGCAGGGGAGATGGGCAAAATGGGGACACGGGATGGAAAGAAGACAGCTGAACTCTTCCAAATGAATCTTAAGCCAGCGGACTGGAGGGAGGAGTCCAAAGCCTAGTTCTGGCACCTCCAACAACAGAAGTTATCCAGCCTCCTGAGGCTTCAGCTTCTTTGCCTATAAAATGAGATAATTCCCACTCCCTGATGGGCTGCACAGGGACTAGTGAGGTCACGTGTAAGAGCAGCTGGTGCAAGGAAGGCGCTCAACAGCATCACTCTCAACAACACTACTTCCAAGTGGCCTGATATTCCTCACGAATTCGGACTTAGTGTTTAATCTCTCCCGGATCCCTTCTTACCTTGGATTTGCTTATTTTTTCCCGAAGTTTCTTGCCAGGAATGCTTACACAAATCTAGGGCTCTAGATCTCCCACACTTTCTCAGACTCTTGGTGTTTTCGGTTTAGGTCTTAAAATTTAGGAAGAAAAAGAATGTAGGAAAAAGCTTCCAGAAATGCTTGGGTTTATCTCTAGCTAATGCACACAAAAAAGTATCTGACAATGCAGCCTTTAACTGACTGGGAAGGGTGGGTCTTCACCCAAACAGAAGTGCAGGGATTACAGGTTCCCATCAGTTAGTCCCACATCCTCCTTGGTGGCCGTGGACCAGAACACTGGCAGTTTCCTTTCCCTGGAACAGTTCCTGATTTCCCAAGACCAAAACCACACATATTTGTCAGCAGTCAGAATGCCTTCTGTTTTTGTTCCTACTGGGCAGGGGAAGGTGAGGGGTGAGGAGAGAGAGAGCTGTAGGACAGTCACTTTCTCACTCAGGCTAGAGGAGGCAGCAAGACACTTTCAAGCCAGAATGTCCTCCCAGGCCCCCAGGTTCCTGGTCCTGCTCACTTTACCTCCTACCATCTACCCACTTGGCTTTCCAGGTGATGGAGGCAGAGTATGGCTTAGTGCTAATGGAACGGAACATGCCCCAGGGACCATTGAGACATGGGGGTTGGGAGAACGCTGCAGACTTACATGGTCAGGGGTTGGAGGGGTGTCCCAGCAAGGAAAGGAAAAGCCCCAAGTCACAGAAGCGACAGTAGTAGAGATGATCTTGGGTCTGGTGAGTTTGGTGATCAGGCTGGCTTTATCCATGAAGCTATAAAATGGTGAGTTCAGTCATTCTCTAGTCAGGGAACAGAGGGTTGTGGAGATGCACGTAAGCCCAAAGTCCCTTGCACTGGCAGCGTCATGAAGAGTAAAGACAGGCAGCAGAAATCCTGAATGATCAATCTGACAGATCAGTCTTAGCCTTCCTCTGAATTCTGGGCAGATCTCAGTGTGGAAGCAGAAGCATCATAGAATGTCCTTAACTAGAGGGAAAATGGGTCAAGAAACGTCTGGGACCTGGGACCCACATAAATTCTTTCTTGAAGTTCTGAACAGCCAGTGCTTTTTTGTAAACTGCTCTAAAGGTGGACAACAGGGGCTGAGAAACATCAAGCAAGGACCTCCTTTTCTTATGGGTCTCATGTCATAAACTCTTGACATGTTAATATGGTGGTACTTTATACAATTCATATTTTAAAAAACTGACCTTGTAAAACTCTCCTTGAAAACCTTGTTGAAAAATAGCTACACTAGAAAAATGAGAAGGCCAAGGGAGAATAAGTACTTAAGGATATCCTTGCCGTGGCTGCTTTGGCCCTCGGAAGCCTGCTCGCCTGTGTAAGCTGCAACACTCTTGCAGCAGTCAGGAAGGTTCAGTGGATCCAGGTCACTGATTAAAAGCAGCATAAAATACCAGTGCTAGGGCAAAGTGCAGGCTAGGTGAGTGGAAAGTCCCTTGGGTTCCACAGGGTATAGAGTAATAGGCCTGTCCATATTTTTCTTACTGCTAAAACTTTGAGACTTTGGGTGGGTTTATCTGCAGCTAAAGGGACCTCTGAGAGGATGCATCTATCAGAGACAGTTGCAACTAAATCTGAGCTTCGTTTCTCATGGCATCCTTACCAAATCTGGTTAGTGTTTCCAAACGATGAACTAAACTCACTGTGCTGGAGCCTCATGGATGAAGCCAATCCAATCACCAAACTCAAGACCCAAGACAGCCCCTACTCACTATTTCCTCTGTGACTTTGGGCCTTGCCTTCCCTTCCTGGAACACCTTCCTCTGAAGCAAGCTTAGCCAACCCATGGCCCATAGGCTGCATGCGCCCAGAACTTTGAATGTAGCCCAACAGAAATTCATAAACTTTCTTGAAACGATATGAAATTTTTTCTGGGGGGAGGGCGATATTTTTTTAAGCTCATTAGCTATCGTTAGTGTTAGTTTATTTTATGTGTGGCCCAAGACAATTCTTCTTCCAGTGTGGCCCAGGGAAGACAAAAGAATGGACACCCCTGCTCTGATGCGTTTCCTGACAGTATTAGCCTGCAGTGTTCTCCCAGCCCCTACACTCCTGTGGTCCCTAGGGCATGCTTCATTCCATTGGCACTAAGCCACACTCTACCTTCATCACTCGGCAAGCCAGGTGGGTAGGTGGTAAGGTGAGCAAGACCAGGAGCACAGGGGCCTGAGAGCAAGGCTTTTAAAGAGCAGCATGTTGCTCTGAGCAACTGCCAAAGGTGGCCCAGCAAGGGTTGCTGTTATAGGCTGAATTGTCTCCCCATGCCCCAAATTATTCACATGCTGAAGCCCTAAGCACCTGTACCTCAGACTGTGACTGCATTTGGAGATGAGGCCTGTAGAGGAATGATTAAGTTAAGATGATGCTGTTAGGGTGGACCCTAATCCAATGGACCAGTGTCTATAAGAAGAGGAGATTGAGAGACATGGAGACACACCAGGGGCATGCAACAGGGACAGTCACATGAAGAGGCAGCAAGGGGACAAATATTTGCAAGCCAAGGAGAAGAACCTTGCAGGAAACCAGCCCTGCCAGCACCTGACCTTGCAATTCCAGCCTCCAGAGCTGTGAGAAGGTAAATTTCTGTTATTTAAGCCACCCAGTCTGTGGTATTTTATACAGCACCCAAGCAAACTAATACAGTCGCTCAAGCCAAGAAAGACAGGCCTTAATGGTGATGCTGAAACCTGGGGCCACTGATATCTCCCAGGAGCTCTCTGCAAGGCTCAACACTGACCACTTTCTGAGCGCTTGATGCTCTTCAAGGCCATTGCAAGCACTGTTCTCAGGCACCTTCCCTTAGGCAAGGACAGTCCATCCTGCTTCCAGTGTCTCACTTTCCTCATCCTTTGATAAGAAAGCACAGGGGCCAGGCCTGTAATGAGCACTCAGGAAATGGGGGTGACCTCTACTCACTGTTCAGCCACATTTGGGTCAAGAGAATCAGTTTCAGTAGGTGTTTCAGGCAACGAGGAGCCAGACTCCTGTATCTGGCACAATTCTTCATCTGTGATGATATCAAACACAGCGTCGTCCGGTGGCCTGTAGTCTGTATTTGCTCCTGGGCAGCAGAGGCAGATCAGGAGAGAAGAGACACAATACACTGTTATGCACAGGCTGGGTAATGGCCTTTGGGAAAGTGAGAGAGTGCAGCTATGCAGAATAAGCTGCTGAGGCACAATTTAATTGGTCACTCAACTGACAGCTATTCTGTCCAGAGTTGAGAGAAATGGTTGGTTGCTGGGACATTCCAAAACAGTAGAGGAAGGCTTACAGATGAAATGGAATGTACAACCTAAGAGACTTCTCAAAGTCAGGGGCTTAGAGAGGTTTCAACCTCTTGCATATTCTCTGAGGTCCCTTATTTAGAAGAAAAACTCTTATTAAGAAAGAACCTAATAACAGAAAACACACTTCTATGCCACTAAATCCTTGCTCCATAAGACACAGGCAGTACTTATTCATGTATTTTTGAAAGCAGGAGTCTGTCTGACCTGCATTTTCCCTTCATCCACTGATGTGTGGGAAAGAACCTCCAAGTGCTCAAGGACTTGCAGCAGGCACTGGGTTTCCAACCAGGGGCCTTGTGTCCGACTGTGCAAGCCACTTAGTAGGAAGGCCACTGTAGGAATGTTCCTGTACCAGTCATCTGCCCACAAACACTCTCCAGCACGTCATGGAAAAACGTGAGAGCAGGTTTGAGGCAAAAAGAAAAAAAGACCGGGTGCGGTGGCTCATGCCTGTAATCCTAGCACTTTGGGAGGCCAGGGCAGGTGGATCACTTGAGGCCAGGAGTTCACTACCAGCCTGGACAACGTGGTGAAACCCTGTCTCTAATAAAAATACAAAAATTAGCCAGGTTTGGTGGCAGGCACCTGTAATCTCAGCTACTCGGAAAGCTGAGGCACGAGAATCACATGAACCCAGGAGGCAGAGGTTGCAGTGAGCAAAGGTCATACCATTGCACTCCAGCCTGAGAAACAGAGCAAGACTCTGTCTCAAAAATAAATAAATAAATAAATAAATAAATAAATAATAAATCAAAAATTTAAAATGAGCAGACAGGAAATGTCAAAAACCAAAACAAGTGACCTGAGCACTCTGTGGTCACTAATGAGTCAGGGCAAGCCCATGCAAAGTTCCTGGGGTGTTTAGCAAGAAAAATGGTTCATGTGAGCTTAAAGTTCCCAGCTGGACCTGCCACATGACCACTAAGACAGGCCCTGCTTTAGAAGTGAAGTTCTTCTTCTTATCTCAAGTCTGTATAATAGAGAGCTTGAGGCATAGGCTGAAAAAAGGGGCCAGGGATTGGTTTTTTTCGATAGACCCAGCCACCCTCCTGAACCTGCCTTGCAAGGCTAGCACAGGGAAGGGAAAGCAGACAACAGGGATCTAAAATGATGTCCACTGACATAAACCGAAGACTTAAATAAATAGAAAGTTATAACATGTTCATGGACTGAGTCAATTTTATTAAGATGTCAATTCTCCCCAAACTGAACTAGAGATTCAATGCAATCTCAATTTAAATATCACCAGGATTTTTTGTAGAAATTGACAAACTGATTCTAAAACTTATATAGAAAAACAAAAAACCTAGACTAGCCAATACTTTGATAAAGAACAAAACTGGAATCACTCTACGTGATGTTAAGATGCTTTATAAAACTATGGTCATCATAACAGTTTGGTATTGGTGAAAGAATAGGCACATAGATACATGGAATAGAATAAAAGTCCAGATATAAATCCACACATATAAGGTCAATTGCTTACTTTCTCATGGCAGCATAAAAAAAAAAATAAAGTCGGTTTTTGACAAAGGTACAAAGAACAGTTTCAATCAATGGTGTTGAAATAACTGGACAACCATACAAAAAGATGAATCTCTATTCACACCTTGCACCACACACAAAGATAACTGAAAATGAATCACAGACCTAAATGTATAAGCTAAAGCTATAAAACTTCTAAGAGACAACAGAAGAAGGTCTGTGAGTCCTTGGGCTAAGTAAAGCTAGACATGACAACAAAAAGAAAAACATTTATACATAACAGAAAAAAACTGATACATTGGACCTCATTAAAATGATATACTTCTGCTCTTTGAAGACTTTTTTGCTCTTTGAAAGAAAATATAAAGACAAGCTATAGATTGGGAAAAAAATACTTGTAAAATACATATCTGACAAAGAACTTGCGTAGAGAATATACAGAGCACTCTCAAAATTCAGTATTAAAAATCATTTTAAAATGG